AACTGATTTATAAAAGGTTGTACCTTCTCCTCACAGAGGCAAGCATGGCTGGGCTGAGGGAAGCCTCCCACTGCAAGGGGAAGTGGCAAAACTATAAACTGCTGGGTTGGGCCTCTATCCAGGGTTTATAGGTAGATTTGAAACATTAGATGCTGAGGGAAGCTGGGTGATCTTGGGCAGACTGCCTGCACCCTTTGGCCTGAATGAGAAGTGGGAGGATGAAAGGACAGGGGTCTCCTTGAGGCAGGGGAGAGGCTGTGGTCCTTTTGCAAGCTACTTTCCTGAGGCCTCAGTTGCACAACACTCCATTACATGGGCCTTACTGCCACTGCCAGCAGCCTGTTCTGTCACCTCCTTGTCTGGGCTGAGCTAAGCCACCTCTGGCTCTCCCACCTGTCTACTGCCTCCCTGCTACATGAGGCCACTCCTTCCAACACCATTCTACTCCCAGGCCTCAGGGCCAGGGCCTCCCTGGGCTCAGCTGGGTAAACCTGTCCCCGCCCTGCCACCTGACAGTCCCTTTGTTGGATCCCAGAGCAGACTGGTTTTCTCTGTGAAAGCAGAGACAGAGCAGGTCTGACAGGGGTGCTGCTGGGCACTGAGGTATGGCTGAGGCACATTTAGTCCCTGGTGCACAATTAGCATGGCACAAAGGTACGCACACAGGATCTAAGCCCCAGATCTACCTCTTAAAATCGTGTGAACTTGGGGCGGTCACTCACCCCGCCTCCAGGCTCAGTTTCCTGAAGAGAATTGCGTTGGCTTTTGTATCTGCCCTGGAATCTGGCTCAGAGCCAGTAACTAGGCCCCAGTTGGCAGAATCAGCTTTGTTCCTGTTTGGATCCTGGGAGACTGGCTCACTTCAGAGCCTCTAGCATCTCAGCCCTCAGAAAGATGTCACCTCTACCCCCCACCAAGTCTAGTTGACCATGTCCAGACACACGACAGGCATTTAACTAAGTGTTTGTCCACAAAACTGGAGTGAGGAAATTCCTTTGTCTCAGACATGCCCTCCCCTGTGTGTTTTGTTGAACCAGACAACTTAAAGGTGAGCTTGCTGCCTCCTTGACACAGTCCTATCCTCCCAAGAGGCATCAGCTTTCCCCCACCACTACAGACTGTGCCATCTGGACCATTTTGGGATGTTGCCTGGTACTCCTGCTTCTGGTTGCCTCGACCCCTTACAGAATCTCCAAACCTGCACAGGGTCTGCCTTGGCTCCCTATCATCTGTTGTAATCCAGAAGGAGGCTCAAACATCTCCCCGCATCCAGGTGGGCCCTCTCATACTGCTGTTCTCTCTGCCCTTGACTCACCAACCCCTGACCTTTACCAGCAGGCCTCTGGGATAGCATATCCTGGGATGGACAGAGATCGTGAGATCAGGAGCTGAGTGAGGCAGGCCACACTGAAGTGTGGGCTGGTTAAGATCTCTCCTCTGGCTACTCTCAGACCCCTGGAGTGGTCAGTACTATGGACTGGGCACTCCAAGAAGGGGGCACTCCCCATCAAAGATGCAAATCTCCTTGGAATCCAGGCTTGTGGCTGGGGGAAGGGGACTAAGACTTGAAGGACAGATGTATTGGCTCCAAGACTTGAATCTTAATGGGACAGACTCAGGGGCTGGGGTTGTAGCTCAGTGTTAGAGTGCTTGCCTAGCACATGTGAGGCACCAGATTGGATCCTCAGCACCACATAAAAATAAATTAATTAAATAAAGGTCCTGTGTCCATCTACAACTAAAAAAAAAAAAAAATCTGAATGGAGTGATTCCACCCACAGACCTGTGGCCACTGGGCTGGGGTGGAACAGGTCAGCATCTGAACTCTTTGGCCTTCACAGGAAGGTCCCTTAAGTGTGGGTTGCCCTCTCAGCTTCACTCCAACCGCACCCAAGGCTGCATCCAATCCTGGACAGCCCAAGTTGGTCTATCCCTCAGCCTGAGGATTTTCCTGTCCCACCCCTTTCCCTCCTCCCCCTCTCCCTAAACTCAAACCCAAGGGCATCTCCCAAGGGTGTCTGCTTCTATTGGAGCTTGCCAGCCCTGCCTGCCTATCAAGGAAAGAGCATTGTAGTTTTTTCTGACCTTGGATAGACCTGGCCACAAACAAAGGGCTTAGGCATCATGCCCTGAGCCTTTTGAGGCTCCCTAAAGGACAAGACCACTAAGTGAGGTCTCAAAGAGCTGGAGTAGAAGTCTTCACCCATCTAAGCACCCTCATTCCCTCCCTGCCTCTCTCTGGATCATGACCAAGGGTTGGGCTAAGATAATAATTCCCATAACAGTTATAATGTTTTTAATAGCAATGTTAAATGCCAAGTTCTCTGCTGGGTGCTGGGGAAACATAAATAAATAAGATAGACAGAGCCCCTGACCTCATAGATGCCTTTACTCGTTCCCTGTGCAGGTACATGCCTAGGCATATGGAGAACATTCAATACACATTTATTGAAGGAATGAAGAGGCATGAAATGAGCAGAGATGTCAGGTGGAGTGTGCAGCAAACACATGAAGGTCATGACAGAAGTGAGGCATGATGGGCCACCACCCATTCCCACTTTCACCAGGGCTCGCAGTCCCTCTGGCTGCCTTTGACTTGGTACCCCCAACACAATGTGGACTCAGCAACACCGCAATCCCCCAAGACAAAGATCATTCAAGGGTGAAAGGAAATCCTAGGGGCTTCCCTGAGACAGTTTTGGAGAAAAATATGAGGAGCCATAGGGCCTGAAGCTTATTTGACTTGCTGTCCCCAACTCAGAGCACCTCAGAAGTGGGCCCAGTGTGGTTCCTAAGAAGGACTATCCCCAGCATCCAGGAACACAGCTTGGCCGGCACCTCTCTCCTCTGGGAGGGCACTGGTCAGAAGTGGGCCTCTGATGTTCTCCTAAGTCAAGGATGTCAAGCACCCATGCAGCCAGACACAATGGCATATGCCTGTAAACCCAGCAACTCAAGAGACTGAGGCAGGAAGATTACAAGTTTGAGGCCAGCCTTAGCAATTTAGTGATTCCCTAAGCAACTTAGTGAAGTCCTGTCTCAAAATAAAAAATAAAAAGGGCTAGGGATGTAGTTCAGTGATAAATTGCCCCTGGGTTCAATCTTCAGTACCCAAAACAAAAAAACTCAAGGACGATGGGCACATACCTGGACATCCTGTATCACTCCAAGGTGCTCAGACACTGCACAATGAGATAGGAAAGTTTACGTACCAGATTCTAGACCACTGCTTCTCCCCAACCCCCTCCATCTCTAACTCTGTGAGAGAAGCCTTTGGAGATAGATTATGTTGCTCAGAGACTTAAGAGTCAGGATAGTCATATTTAGGAGTACCCTTTCTGGAAAGGGTGTCACACTCCCCCCTCCCCTAGACAGAAGTAAATAGATAATGAGGAAAGTTCAGGATGGGGGCAGGAAGGTGGCAGGCCCTAGGGATGTCTAAATTGGGAGAAGCAAGCAATATCTGAGAAAGGATTCCAGAATGAGGTGTATTAGGTGGAAACTCCCACAGACTTGAGGATCCCCTCTATCATGGACCATGTTCTACACTCAACCCTAGGGATAACCAATGAGAAGTGATAGTTCCTCCATTCCACCCCATTTAGTGGAGTGTAAGTCCTGACCCTTCTGCCTCTGTCTATAGGGGACCCAAGTCAGCATGGCATTGAGCAAAAACCCTTCTTCACCACACAGTGTTGAAAGCCCAGTGGCTGGTGCTTTGTGGATCCTTTCTCCCACATATATACCACACACCCCCAAATATGCACCACTGCCACACACACCATTCATGCTGTTTCTTTCCAGCAGTACAGGTAGCAGAACCATGCCTCCCAGAGAGGCATCCACATTCCACCCTGGAGGGCTCCCCTTCCTTGGACTGCCCTAGATTTGTACATCTCAAGCAGTCCTCCTTCTTGGAAGGGATGGGGTGTTTGAGATCTGGTGGACCCATCTTACCCCAACCTGTGAGCATCTGAAGAATAGTTCTTCCCAAAGCTTAGCTAAGAGGGTATAGAGGGTTGTCAAGAATATTAGCTAAATTAGGGGCTTCCTCATGGTCTGGAGAAGCTAATGTCTGGTGTAGCCAGACTGAGGTGCCCAAAGAGAGGTAGGCAGGGCTCTGGCCAAACCATGGCACCTGCAGAGGCTGTTCAAGGACATCCCTGGAGAACATGATGGGAATGGGGAGAAGCACTTGGGGAGAGAGGTCTCCAAGTGAAAGGCTGCATATATTCCCATAGTCACCACTCCAGCCATTCTCCTTTCCCTGGAAGCCTGAAGAAACAAGGCTCCTTGCAAAGGAGGAAGAGAGGGAGCTGTGCAGACCGCCTGGAAGGAACTGGCAGCAAGAGACAATCCTAATGTTCTGAAGGAAGCAGGGACACCTGGAAAGACAGAGCACCTCTCTTCTCTGACTCAAGTCAGAGGTCACCTTCTCCACGCAGCCTTCCTGGGATCCCCAAACTAGATTGGGTGCCTTTATATTTCCACCTCTATAGAGACGCGCTGCCGGCTCTGTGTCCCCAGCCAGGTCTGCTCAGGTCCAGGGTTCCTAGATCAGTGCTCGGTGTTCAGAGGGCTCCTCACACAGAGAGATAGGTTTGCCTGCCAGGACCTTTGAGGAGGTTTGATCAAGGCTCTGCCCCATCCCCCATCTGGGCCGCCCCCCGCCCCCCATTCCTCTCCTAGCTGGGGCGCCGCTCCGCCCAGTAGAAGCGACTTCAAAGGGTCTGTGCCCGAGCTTCCGCAGCCGGGCTCGGGTCTGCGGTGCGCAGATCCCAGGCCCAGACGGGATCCGGGACGTCGGGGCCGTCCCACTCCGGGGGTCTCTGAGAAGCGGGTGGGGGCTCGGGGCTGAGGCTGCTGAGACTGAGGGGCGCGTCCTCCGAGCCCCCCGAAGTGGGAGGGTCGGCGGCCGCGGGGCCAATCCGGGCGCGCGGGGAGCGGGGGCGGGGGCCGGGCGGAGGGGGGTACGGGCGGGCGGGCCGGGGGCGGGGCGCGGCGGCCAGGCAGGCGGCGGCGGCGGCCAGGCGGCGGCTCCTCGGTGTCCGGCTCCGGCTCCGGCTGCGGCTCCGGCCCGCGATGCCCCACTCGGTGACCCTGCGCGGCCCTTCTCCCTGGGGCTTCCGCCTGGTGGGCGGCCGGGACTTCAGCGCGCCCCTCACCATCTCGCGGGTGAGTCCCACGGCCGCGGGGCGGCGGGGCTGCCCCGGATCGGAGCCCCAGTCTCGCGGTCCCCCATCCGGGACCCCGATCCCCGACGTGTCCGAGACTTGAAAGCTGAGGGTTGACCCGGGTGACCCGCACGAGGTAGAGGCAGCTTCCAGGCAGGGCAGCGCCGCCCCACCCCCCTCTCCGCTGGGCCTGCTCACCCGGTGGAGGGGAGATTCCCCCAAAGTTCACACACCAGCCTCCTCTACGCTGCTGTCCTTGAGGAGTAGTCACGGAGGATCGGGGCCTTCCCGCAGACAAGAGCCAGGAACGTGGACAGATCCACAGAGGCCCAGAAACTCCCCAGTTAGACCTAAACCTGCCTGGAGATTTGAGTGAAGCGACTGTGGGTCCCACCCTTCCCCTGTCAAGGGCCTCTGCCTGAAAAACTGGGTGACCCCACGGAGGTCTGAGGTCTTCAGTAAGAAAAGTTCATCCACTTCCCCACTCTGATCTTTAGGCAGTGTCTCTTTTGTGACCTCAGTCACCCTAGAGGGAAGTGACCAGGAGGAATTTTTTGGCTTCCAGGAAAAGGGCAGATTTGACTATGAGGATGTAAGAACTTCTCCTTAAAAGACAACACAAAGCCATTGGTCAAGCCAGTCTCAGCCCCCCTCCTCAAGGTTCCCAGAGCCATGTCTAGACCTGGACTTGGGACAGAGGAGGAAAAGATGGAGGCACAACTGTGGGGAGATGGCTGATCTGAGGACAGAGGAACAGTCTTGAGTTCTGTTGCAGGGGGTGCCCAGGAGACAAAGGGTCCTAGCCCAGGTTCCCTGGTTAGGGGTGGGGGCGGAAGAGAGGACTGAGTCATTGGTGGCTCCTACTCTGGAGGGAACAGGATGGACCTGGGATCATCTGAGGGCATTCCTTGCCCCCACAGAGGCTGCTGGTCTTTGGGGACTTGTGAGAAGGGAACTAAGATCCACCTTCACCCACCCTTCTGCCTCCTCTTGCCCTGGGGGCTGGGCCCAGTTTCACAGACTTCTTTCCAGTTCTTGGAAGGGGATGGACACTGGTGGGGCATGGAATCGTGGAATCCTGTTTCTGGGGGCCAGGGTGACAGGCAGGACCAGCTGTCCTAGGAGGCTTCCCACGTCTGTCCTCACTGCCAGGTCCCTGAGGCTGAGTGAGGTGGGCCTTCAACACTTCCAGGAGCCTTTCATCTCCCATTTCCCTGAGAGATCCCTTCGTGTGTGTGTGTGTGTGTGTGTGTGTGTGTGCACGTGCATTCATGCTATTGTGTCTATGTCTGCCTGTGTAGATCATGCTGTGTGTCCACAGGGGAGGGCTGGTGGGGTGCTAGGCCGGCCAGCAGGCCAGGCACCCTGGGCGTGAGGCTGCTGACAAGCTCAGTGGCGGCTGCTGACGGCCGCAGGCGGCAGGGAGCTGAGACATCTGTTGCCCACGCGGCTGCCTGCCCGCCGAGGAAAGGCCTCCACACGTCACAGCAGCAGCAGCAGAGGCCTTGTTTGGCGCTGATCAGGATGCAGGCCCCTGGCAGGCAGGCAGGCAGTCTGGAAGAGGGGTTTGCCAGAAAGAGCCCCCGCCCTCCATGTCCCCCAAGTGTCACACAGCAGCAGCTGAGGCCCAAGGAGCCAGGATGACTGAGCCTGGGTTTGGGTGGGATCTGGGAAGATTTACAGGACTGGGGAGGCACAGGCCACAGCTTGCCTAGTAGGTACCTGGGGGCAATTCTACAGGGACTGATGATGTGTGGGCGTGTCCTCACCAAGGGGGCTCAAAATCCAGCCCTTCCTGAGCTTCTAGACTTTCCTCACCCAGAACAACGTAGGAATGGACAACTTCATGTAGGGTTATAGGGAGGAAGCTGACTTCCTGGCAGGTCTGGAGGCTTGCAGTCTTGGCCTAGGAAGCCTTGGGGATCCCCAAGAACATTATCTAGGGCTCCTTCCCCACAGACAAACCATAATGATTGCTGGCCTTTCCAGAGCATCTGCAGTGTGCCAGGCCCCACCCAATGGGTGTTGGTACCAGCACCTCCCCAGCAACCAGTCCCTGGAATGAGCCCCACCATATGCCCAGCCTGCAGTGGAAGTTTCACATGCCCTGATTGTCTCACATTGTCCTCACAACAGCCCTTAGAAGTAAGGACTGCCTCTGGACTCACACTGTAGATGGGGACACTGTGGCATGAAGAGAGTCAGGTAATGTACCCAGAGAAGCCTAGTAGGGACAGGAATCTAGGCCTGTCTGGAGCTTGCTGTGGCTATATGGGACCATATGGCCCTCTATAGCTCCCAGCCAGTATCTAGGCTGGGTGGGGCAGGGACAAAATGTAGCCGTCATAGGTGAGGGGGTAATTCATGTCTCAACCTCCCATCTGACCTCACTATTCCTGTTTTCCCTTCTTTCTGTTATCCTGTGTGTAGCAGCTAGAGGGATCAAGCTGGATTCAATTCTGTCCTTCCCTGCTTAGAACACTCCATAGTTCCCAACCACTTCGAGTTGTCAGCTTCTCATCTGGGCCTACAAAGCCCTGCAAATTCTGGTCCCTGCCTCTTCTCTGATTTCATCTCTTTCACTCTCTCCTCACTAATGATGCTCCAGCCACACAAGCCTCCTTCTTTCTCTCCTTGTGGAGCCATTATACATGCTGTTCCTCCTACCTGGAACACCATTTCTCTCCTTGGACACTCTTACCCCTCCCTCCCTTTTTGTAGTAAAACACAGTGGTTCAGAATAGTTTTGGATTTGGAATCAGTTGACCTGGGTTAGAATGCTGACTTGGCCATTTATCAATTAAGTGTTTCTCTATACTTCTCTGGACCTCAGTTTCCTCATCTGGGAAAAGGGCTTGCCTTGAAAACTAATGAGACAATGTGTGTAAAGACGGCTGGGAGAGACACGGTTTCCTAGTCTCATGCCCTCTCTGACCAGAACTCCCCTAGCTCAACAGAGCTGGCTGCATCCCAGCCACCCCTGCTTTCAAGAACTTCCTCCGCCTACAGGGGCCTGAATGCACCCCTTGTGCTGGCTGAGTCATCTTGTAGCTAACCACCCCCTGAGGAAGAAGACTCCTCTCCAGAGGGGGTTGGAGCAAGGTGTCCGTGCTCCAAATTCCTCTTTTTTCATCTGTAAATAGGAATGAGAACAGCCTCATTGCACTAGTGAATGAGAGGTCATTTAGTTATGGGTAAAGTGCTGAGCCCAGGCCCTGGCAAAGAGCAGGACCCTGAGAAGAGAACAGGATGGTGTCCTGGGCACCTGCCATGGGAGGACAGGATCATGCAGGTGCCCGGGCTCTTCAAGTGAACATTAATGGTGGGCTGAGGGTTCTGCTTCAGAAGAGGAATGTTCTTTGAAGCAGCCCATTTCAGGGCAGGTCAGCTTGGGCAGTGCCCACACTAGGCTGCGAGCCAAGGAGCTGCCAGCACTCAGCTTTGTCCACTTGCTACTGAGAACTAGCTGAGCTGAGCCTGGCTGGCTTCCAGAAGCTCCCACCCTGACAAATACGACAAGGTCATGGAGGTCTTGTGCCCAGCGAGGCACTGGCTGGAAAGGCTTGAAAATGAGGGGCTGCCAGTCTTTTTCCAAGGGGTGTGTTGGGACAAGACAGTGTGAAGACTGCCTGTTCCCTGAATTCCTCTCGGTTGCTCACTCAGGTCTTTCTGTGAGTCTGTCCCTACCTGTTCCCCACGTGGTTTTCATCAGATGACCATCATTGTAGGAGTCTCCAAATGAGAACACTGTTTGACCCTGTGTGGGGTCAGTAGTGACACTGAGACGTCCTACACGGGAAACTGGATGTGGGATTGTGACTGCAGAGTGCAGGCTGGCCAATGGAACTGAAGGGCCCTGGTCTGAACTTCACTTCCCCATACTAACATGAACAATGTGAGGGGGGAAGTGGTAATGGGGACACGCAGGTTACTCCCAGAAAAGTGCCCTCTATTTTGAGACCTAAAGGAGGAGGAGGAAGCTAGTATGTAGGGTTTGGGAGTCAAAGAAAAGAGTGTTGCAGGCAGAGGGAACAGCATTTGTGGAAGCCTGGAGATGGGCCCTGGCTTGTGCCTGTGAGTGCCCTGCATGCATTCAGATGGGCTGGGAGGATGGTGGAGAGGAAGTGAATGCATAGTAGGGGGACAGGGAAGATCAAGCAAGTTGGGTCAAAGAGCTGCTATACAGTCTGGCTGAGTGGGGCCCTGTCTGTGTGGAGCATTTGTGACATGTCCATGCTCTGTATGTATCTGTGAGCATATGTGTCCCTGTGTGTCTTTTGCTTATCTTTAGGTACATATGCAAGTTGGAAAAGTGGCATCCCACTTTTCCCAGGTCAGATGAAATCCTTCTTATAAACCTTCACTCCTACCTGGCCTCCAGGTGCTGGAGTCGAGGTTTTTAAAACCAGAGGCTGCAAGAAGGCCACACAACCTCTTGGTTTTCCCACCCCCGGGTCATGGCAGTGAGGCCACACTGGCCAGGTTCTGAGGTCCAGAGTAAAAGCCCACACAATGACTGCGCCAACCATCTGGCTTGTCTGCCCACAGGTCCATGCTGGTAGCAAGGCTGCACTGGCGGATCTGTGCCCAGGGGACCTGATCCAGGCCATCAATGGCGAAAGCACAGAGCTCATGACACACCTGGAGGCACAGAACCGCATCAAAGGCTGTCACGATCACCTCACACTCTCTGTGAGCAGGTACACAAAGGGCAGGGTGGGCTAGAAGGTTGGGAGGAGTGGGTAGGGGCAGTTATGGGCGGCCAGTGTCAGGCTGGAGCTGGGCCTCAATGTGGCTTCTCTGCCTCCACTCCAAGGCACCCAGCCTCTAATCCTAGAAGGCAGTACTTTCACAGGGGCCTGGAGGGCACTGTTTAGAGCTGTGGGGAGCTTTAGGACCGAAGAAGCTCCTTTCAACTCAAGGCTAGAAGTGTGTTATGGCACTTATGGCAGATGTAGGCAGCAGATATAAGAGCTTGAGTCATCTCTGGAACATTTACACCTGTCATTTCTCCTACCCTGAGTGACCAGTTTGATAACTATTAAAAGCAATTTTGTGTGCAATAACTCATTTACCTGCAAATCTACTTATAAAAAAGATAACTTTAATGTAAGCCCCATTTTACAGATAAGACAACTGAGTCAGAAAAGTTAGAGGTTGCTTAAAGTCACCCAGAAAGGTAGTGGAAAAGCAAATTTGACCTCAGGTCTGTCTCATTCCTGAAGATTCTTCTACTTGACTGTCAGCCAAGCTGCCCTCCCTATACTATATGCACCATGGCCCACACCTCTGCTCTGGTTAAATTTGGAACAAGCTTACTGCCATGAATTATGTGTAATGCTGTGAAGCCCATCATGAAGGGGAACCTAGGAGGTCATCAAGCTCCACCTATGGCAGGATGAAAGGTCCAGTCCCTTTGCCTTGCTCAAGTCCTGGGTCTTTAGTCAGCTCCACCAGGCAATCATCCTAATCCTTGCTAAATGCAATCTCCCCACCCCTGTCTGGATCCAGGGAAGACAGACATAATTGCTCAGTTCTGCCACGTTCACTGCTAACAGGGACTTTCCACGACCCCCTATGGAAGTGTGTGGGAGAAACTTCCCCAAACCACAACACGGCTAACCATGCCTTACAGCTGGCCGGGCGGGAGGTGATCCATTGGCTCAGAGCCTTTAAACATGGTGAGAAGGTTTATGAGGTAACCTCTATTTGTACCTGGCCTGTAACCAGGTCCAGGTTGGGGTTAGGACCCCCTGACTATGCCCTTGGCCCTGAGTGAACTCAGCTGCAAGTCTAAGACCTTGTACATTCTACCTGGCACATGGCAAGGACATCCCAGCCTGGAAGTTCAGCAGACCTGATCCTAAGTCAGACTCTGGGACCTTAGGTACCCAGATAACCTTCACGAGCCTGGGTTTCCTTTCCCATAAAATAGGATCACGTTCATTACCCTCTGCCAGACTGAGGGGCGGCTGGTTGGGGGAAATGTCAGCACTGCTTTGCCCACAAGCAGCCTCTGAGGCCTCCCCACTTGGCTGGGTTCCTGGGCCCTGACTCACCTCCGGCTCTGCTTCTGTAGTGAACAAGGGCAGCCCTGGTGGTAGTGGAGTTAGGGAGGCTCACAAGCAGCCTGAGTCAGGAGATTCCCAGAGAGAATGATGTCAGGGGAGAGTGGCCGGGTGGAGGTTCCCCTTCCTTCCTTTCATGCTCATTTGTTCCAAACCAGTCATGGAAGGAGCCCAGGGTTCCACTGACCTGTTGAGCTGTGAGCATTGCAGTCTCAGAATGCCATTTGGCCATGGAACAGGGAGAATATTCTCCCGGTCACAGAGATGAGTTCCAGTGCCACTCTGTACTTGAGAACCATGTTGTCCTATAGCAGAACTTTATTCTCTGAGCCCTGAACTTCCTCACCTCTAAAATGGGGATTTCTTGTGATCTGAGTGATGAGGTACCAGGCCTGCTCAGTCAGAGTGAAAACCCAAGTCTAGCCCTCCAGCTCCTGTCTCCATCCTTCACACATACAGATTCTGGGGGATCAAGACATGGGGCCCTGTTGACCCTCTGGCCCAACATTCCTTCTCCTGGATACCTTCCCACCTGCAAGGCCTCTGACTCTGTTCACTATCCTGTCTCCTATGCCAGGACCTATGCCTGGGTCTTATGTTTGGTTCCCAGAGACCCCTTCCACCTGCAACATGGGCTTTGCAGAGGATCAGCCTGATGAGCTGGCTGGAATGAGCAACTCTGAATTCCTACTCCTGGGTTTCTACCCAGACCAGCTTCCCTACTGTCTTCCATGTCTACAGGGCTGTAATCTCACACCTCTCACTTCCCACAGAGTAAAACTCATAGGAAAGGCCCGGCTTCTCTGCTAGGCTTATTTTGTCTGGTGCCAAAGCCAGGCATCCAACAATCTGAGCTAACCCACACTTCTTGGCTAGGTTCTATACTTCCAGAATCTTTCTAGCATCAACTTCTGTCCTGTCAGTCTGTCAGTCTTGTTTTTGATTTACAGATGGGCACAGGGAGCCACCTACCCCATGTGAAATGGAGGTCTGGGATGGGGCTAATCATGATTAGATTAAGCCCTTCATTCTTATCTCATGCCTTGGGCCACCCTCATGGCTCTGGGCAATTGTGCCCTCTGACCTTTAGACCATAGGGCTTGTACTGCCCTTCTGGGCAGCACTTGAGGGAAATACAAAGCCAAATAACCATAGCTACACAAGATGTCCATGCAGAGTTCTGAGCAAGTAGAAATCACAGTTAGAGCTGTGAGTTGGTGCAGTCACTTGGGAGCCTAGCTAAGGGGACTAGAGACAGAGATTGTGGGGAAGGGATTGTTGCCCTGGGATGGCACAGTCTTGATGCCAAGGGCCTCCAGAAGGCTATGGGTTAGAGAGGTAGCCTGCAAAGAGCCAGGGAAGAGGCAGAGGTGAGAAAGTACAGAGTCCGTGTGGCCTGCAGCTACAGACAGACTGGTAAATCCCTCAGCTGACAAAGGGAGAGGCAGAATTGAGCTCCTCGGCCAGTTGGAGTCCTCGAGTAGCCCTAGGAGACCTCTTGGTTGGAGGACATTATTTCCCTTTAGTCTCTGGAGCCTCACTTCACACCCTCCTGCCCGCCCAGGCCTCTGCATCCTCCTGGCCTGCTCCTCACAGAGCTACTGAGCGGCAGGGCTGGGCCCCCGGCCCACAGCCTCAAGGCCTGCCTGCCCTGCTTATGGCAGGTTTACGATGTTTTTCTCCCTCCTGAGTGGTGTTTGGCTTTTGGTTTCTATGGCGAAGCAGGAATTTCCTAATGGCCTGTTTCCCATCTGGGCTGGGCAGACATCAGTGATGACTCTGCCGGCGGCAGCAGCAGGAGGGAAGGCGCACCCCTCTGAGCCTCTCCTTTGCTTTCCCAAGAGCTGACCCCAGCCCCAGCCAGAGGCTTATGGATAGAGAGCCAAGGGATGAGTGGATGGGCTCCTAGCTAGTCCACGTGTGAGGCCTGGCTTCCCTGCCACAGCTGAGCCTCTTGAGTGGAGTTTCTGTAGGCCACAGAGAGGTTAGAAGATGGGGGGAAGCTGCAGAGCCTCTGCTTCAGTCTCTCCAGGACCAGACCAGAGAGGCCAGGCAGTTGGTAGGGAAGAGAGCACACAGCCCTGCTCCAGGAGAGTGGCAGATCTAGGTTTTTGGCTCCTTGACAGAACAGATACCACTGTGGTGCAGGGGAAGGTGCTGGGGTAGCATTTTTCTCCCTGCAGGCCACAGGCCTAGTTCTGGATGGTGATGGCCCAGAGCACAGCCCCTCTTGGTCCTGTTCCTAGGCTTGTTAGGCAGATATTGACCATACTGATTCCTGCTACAGGCCTGAGAGCAGAAGTTGGCCCAGTTCCCCTGATGACAGCAAGGCTCAGGCACACAGGATCCACATCGACCCTGAGGCCCAGGTATGTACGCTGCCTGACCTGGCCTGGCTCAGAGAGAGCCCAGGGCAGAGGAGCTAGAAGTAGTCTACAGGTTCCCCTGCATTGGCTGTCCTCATCATGGCCCTGAGATGCCCAGGACAAAAACGAAAGAAAGTTCCTCTGGGCCATGCTCATACCCCATCCCATATTCCTCCGATCATGAGCACCTCCTGGGGGCTCTGTGTTTATTCCAGCCAATCCGGAGCATGGACAAAGTTTCCTATGATGGGCAGGGGCTGGGCTAGGCCTTGGCTCAGGGTTTCTTTCCATCCACCCAGCTGGAATTCACTCTGGTACCCAGTGGTTCCATATTAGGTAGAAGTCAACAGGCTTGGTAGAGGGCTACAGGTGTGTGTGTGGGGGGGTGGTCTAGCCTCAAGCTGTGGAGTGATCACAGGCCATAGGACACTCCTTTAGCTCATCCTACCCTTGGGTACCCTGTCCAAGCTGAAGTTCCCTCTTGGCCATCCTGTGATTATAACTAGCACACATGCTGCATGTCTGTCTGCTCAGTCACCTTTTTGTGTAGGACAGGAATCACGGCTTATGGCACTTCCTCAGGGACAGTGAGGGATCCAGGCTGCTCTAGGACTTTGTCTTTCCATGGGCATGAAGGGAGCCAACTGAGCAAGATGGAGGTATCTAGAGCCAACTGGGCATCTCTGGAAGGAAAGGGGGAGACTAGGCTGATCTGAGATGTAACCAGAACCATGAGACCCAGCATGTGGGGCCACAGACTCCTAGGCCTGCTTTTGTCCTCTTTCTCCATATGGGAAAAAAAAAAAAAGAGATCTATGCATGAAGAGGAGGCTTCACCCAACCAGAGGAAGGATTTCCACTCCCGCCCCTCCCTCACCAACAATCCCCACGTTGCTCTACATTTGCCTCATCCCTTACCTCAGCCAGTATCCCTCAGGCCAGATGTTTATCCCAACCACAGAGTGCCCATTCTGGCAGAGAGACACTTATAAGTCCCAGGATAGGGAAAGCTAGGTGCCAAAGGAGCCCAGAGTGGACACGTGACTCAGCCAGGGGTCAAAGAGGGCTTCCTGGAGGAGAGGTATCCAAGCCCAGACCTGGAGGCCTGGGAAAAATAAAATAGGCAAAAGGGTATGGAGAGAGGAAGTGTGCTCAGGAAGCACATACAAAGGCCCAGGAGTGAGATCGTGCAGCACAGGTTCAGAGAACAGAAAGGTCTAAGAGGGGGCAGGTGGGAGGGCAGAGGCAAGGGATGAGGTGATAGAGCAAGGCTACAGGGAGGCTCCTGGGTTCCTCAGTCCAGGGCCTTAACTGTTCTTTCAGGAATTCAAAGCCACATCTGTGTCTCAGAAGCTTTACCCCCTGGCCCCATGGACTCAAAGCCCTAGGGGTAGTGGTAAGCAGAGTAGATTTGGCATAGGAGGCAGATTTGGCATAGAATCAGCCAGGCTTGACAAGGGCCAGGCAGGAGGGAGCAGCATAGTTGAGACCCCTAGAGTATGTGCAAGGCCCAATTTCCTTCTGATGTGGCAGTGCCAGGATGGAGAGAGAAGGAGGCCTGAACAATGGAATTTGGAGCTCAAATGTGTTCAGTCCTCTGAGAGGCTCAAGGACAGTGGGCCTGGGGGGCTGGGGCTGTAGAGCAGCTCCCCATGTGCCCATGCTTTTCCTTGCTGACTCTTTCAGAGACCAGGCTGGCAGAGCTCAGGCTACAGGGGGAGGGATTTTCCATAAGCAACAGGGCAGCCCATCAGCTGCTGTCCCCCTTTTGTACTTAAAAGGTCATGGACTCCATGGGTGGTGACAAAAACACTCCTACCCCGCCTTCGCAGGGATGTGTCCTCACCACCACAGACACAGGGCTCATTGTCCCCAAGCTGCTCCCACCCTTTGCCTGTGGGGGATGGGGCTAGCTGGAGCCATCAGAGGAATAAGAAGCTACAGCCACCGTTAGCCCCAGGACCCGCCCAAGGTACCCCTGGCATGCTTTCCCCAGTGAAATGGGACAGGGCCATTGAGCTTCAGGCCTACATTCCTGTAGGGCCATAGAAGACCCTCCTCTTCTCAGACCCTATGTGGGAACACAGGAGACACTTGGCCAACCCAAGGTCGAAGAAAGGTAGGGACAAGGAAAGGATTCATGGAGGGAACAGAATTTAAACTGAGAACCTAGAAATGAGTAGACGCAAGGTAGGCAGAGCAGACGGTGCTCGCACATCCAGCCTGTCCTCTCCAGCCCATCAGAGAGCAGGAACGTGGCTGCAGGAGGTGCTACACACTCTTCTGCACTCAGCATTCACCTCCATCCAAGTTGTATATCCCAGACTCTGATGCTGGTCATGTGGGAGCTGGTGAGCAAGCAGGTAGTTATTCCCATTCTGCCAAAGAAATCCACTGAGGCTTCAATAAGTGAATCAGTGGTCGGTCAGCTGGTGCTCAGAGCTGGGGCGCATATGGTATGAGGTGCACCACCACACGGAGAGGGCAGATCCGGGAATGGGGGCTCAGGAGTTCCTGTGAGAGCCGTTCAGCCAAATTTGCTGTGTGCCAGGAACCGTGCTAAGTGCTTTGTAGATAATTTCCCTATAACATAGAGACCTCGGTTCACAATGAAGAAACTGAGGTTCGGAGAGGTGAAGTGATTCGCCACATTAGTGATAGAGCTGGGACTCAAATAAAAGCCAAGTATACCACTGAGTTCAGTTCTAGAGAGGCTGCTGCATGGGTGGCCGTGGGAGGGGCAGTAGCTCTGATGACCCTGCAACAGACTCCCAGACCCTGCTGGGTGGAGTATGAGGGCCTCCATCCTCCCAGCTTCTGGTTCCTCAGACTCCCACTCCCCCTTCCCATTGAAGCCTCCTCCCAGAGGCCCAGCCCTACCCCCACCCACCACAGCCCATCTGGTGCCCATTAGAAGCCTTTCCTGCTTGCCTGCCTACCCCAGACACATGTGTGAGAGTGCTCAGGTTTCTCCAGGGCTTTTCTAATGGCAATGGGGTCTCACTGTTGCTGCTGCTTCTGCTACATTGACAGGGACCCACCTGGGCAGCAAGACTCCCTTTTTTCTGTTGCAGGGGTAAATGGGAAGACCTGCACACATCCACCCACTTCCCAAGCACCCCCTTGCAAAATCAGGGGCAGTCAGGGCAGAGACTTGCAGATTCCACTGTGCCTGATTCTATAGGGTGACTGAGTCCGAGCAGGCTCCTTCCCACCCCACCCTCCCCAGATTCCCTGTCCACACAGCAGATCAGAGAGGTTTACCTGTTATCTTCCAGGCTGAGGCTGAGACCTACCCCATGGTCTGGACTTGAACCTCACCCTAAAATCAGGCTGCTTTGGCTGCCAGCCCAGTTTCAGCCACAGGAGCCACCATGGCCTTCCCCAGGGTGACCAGAGCTGGCTCCAAGTATGTGATATCATTGTGTGATTAGGTGTATGTAGGTAGACTGGCTGGTGGGTATGCACCGTCCTTATGCACAAGTATGTCTTTAATGTACTTGTAAGAGCACGAGTGTACATGCCCCCGTTCACACTGCTGTGGGTATAGTTACATGACTGCAAGCCAAGGACAGCACAGCCCCGGACTCTTCAGACCTATGCCACAGACATACTGCCCTTTCTTCACGGCTCAGGGGACATGCTCAGAGCACTCATCCCCCAACTGTTTCTGCAGTGGACACTGGGGAGTGAGGTAGGGAGCCTTGAGCTCTGCCCAGCCTCTGACCTTCATCTGCTGTGCCTAAAGAAGGATATTTTTTGTGGCCTGGAAAGTGGTAAATGGGGCAGACTGACCTCATGACAGCACTCTGGAGAGCCTCAGACTGCCCTTTAAAGGGTCTTAGACATACAGCAATCGAGGGCTACTCCTGGATATAGGAAAGGAGTTACTTTTTATGTTTCAAGCCATGGGTGCATCTAGTACCCAGCACAGTTCTGGCAGGTGATAACACTGCACCAGGACATCTCTTCCAGGAAGCCACACACTGCTGCAGCCACATTGGTCTTAAAAGTTTCTTGGAATAGGCCTGCCCCAACATAGTCCCTCACAGGCACTGGTGGCCAGAACCACCATAGGGCCCATGAGCCTGGGTTTAGTCAGGCACTCAGATATTTATGTCTGACTTTCAATAGGCATTTCTCATTTTTGTGGTGGATGAACCTGGTTCAGGCTCAACTCTTTCCCACAGACCCCTTTCCTGGCTGGGCACCATAGCCCAGTGATGCCAACATCCCCCAAGGCCTAACATAAAGGATGGTGGTGAGGGGTGGTGAATGAGGAATGGCCAGAGACCACAGGGTCTCCCAGTACCTTAGGCCTAACTCTCACAGGATGGCAGTCCAGTGACCAGCAGGCGGCCCTCAGCCACCGGGATTGGGCCAGAAGATAGCCGACCAGGCCTGGGTTCCTCGTATGGACAGCCACCTCACCTTCCAGTCCCTCACAACGGCAGCAGCAATGAGGTCACCCTGCCAGCCCAGATGAGCTCACTGCATGTGTCTCCACCCCCCAGGTAATGTGGAGACTTGGCCTTTGAAGCCACACCTAGATCTCATCCTAATCTCTGGTCCCTCAAATCTCACATGGCCTATCCTGACTTAATCCTTGGGTCTCAGATGGTTGTATTCTGACTCATAAAACCTCCCTAGTCCCCCAAGCCATCAGAGCCAAGGCTGAAATTGCAACCTGGCCCTCATTTGTCTCCTCCTCTTTCCTAGTGCTGACCCAGCCAGGGGCCTCCACAGGAACCGGGACTGCAGAGTCGACCTGGGCTCAGAGGTCTACCGGATGCTGCGGGAGCCAGCTGAGCCAACCGCTACAGAACCCAAGCAGTCAGGCTCCTTCCGCTACTTGCAGGGCATGCTAGAGGCTGGCGAGGGTGGTAAGACTCCTGACGCCTCACCCTACCTGCCTTCCCACTCCCTGCGGTGGCCTGAACTCAGCCTCCCCGCCCTGGACTTACCCTGAATTTCCCAGCTATGCACCCTTCCCAGCCGTCTGCCCCTCCTGGATCTCCACAGCTCATTCCCATACCTTAACTGCACCCTTGCCTTCTGATTCCCACTCCAACCCTGTCACTGCCCCCCCACCCCACATCCACTCCCCAATCTTAGTGCAAATGGCCTCCAAAGCAACACCTTGCAAAAAATGTAGTTCTGACCTTTCCCACTGGGCTCATGCCACCTGCAATCTGGGTTTCAGGGGAGCGGCCTGGGCCTGGTGGGCCCCGGAACCTCAAACCCACAGCCAGCAAGTTGGGCACTCCCCTGAGTGGCCTACAAGGGCTGCCTGAGTGCACGCGCTGCGGCCACGGGATTGTGTGAGTACCTGCTCTACTGGCCCCACTGCCACCCCACCTTTCCAGGGCCCTGGACAGGAGCTTGCTGGAGAACCTGTCAGTCATCCAGTGCTGTCCTCTCCGTTTCTCCCATCAGGGGCACCATCGTCAAGGCACGGGATAAGCTCTACCACCCAGAGTGTTTCATGTGCTGTGACTGTGGCCTGAACCTCAAGCAGCGAGGTTACTTCTTCCTGGATGAGCGACTCTACTGCGAGAACCACGCCAAGGCACGGGTCAAGCCACCCGAGGGCTACGATGTGGTGGCCGTGTATCCCAATGCCAAGGTGGAACTCGTCTAAGCCAGGACCACCTTCCCTGCCCTGCTTCATTTAATGCCCCCATGTGGCTCATGTAAATATGTTTCCCTGGCCTCTCTAATAAAGTCCCTTTGCTCAGCCTTGAACCAGTCAGTGCCCTGTCCTGCCAGCCTCCTGCACTATCCCAGTGCCAGGCATGTCCGAGGCACTGGGTGCCATGGTGAGGGAGAAAGCACCATGCTTTCCTTAGTGGTCCACAGCCCAGGTGGATGCCTGGCCTGAATCACAAGGGACGGCTTTATTAATATGCTGGGACACCTGCACCAAGGGGTCTGAGCTGGGTGGGGTTAAGGATGATACAGCTGAGAACTACAAGAATCAGAAGGCAAGAGCTCTACACTGTGATATATGGAGATATATGATGTGTGGTCGTCATCAGCAGGAGCAAGCAGAGGCATTCCCTAGCAGCCTCAGGAAAGATGGCCCAGCCGAGCACAGGACTGGGGGGAACACCTCATTGCCATGGGCAGTCTCCACTTCTGAGAGTTCTCCCCTTTGGGTTTCATTTCTAGTTCTCCAACCCACTTTATTCTTCTTTGAGACCCCTTTCTCTCTCTACCACCAGGGGGCGCACTTGATTATTTTTTTCCTCCCCCAGAAGAGAGAGAAGCCAAATTCAAAAAAACAGAACACTCACCTAGGACTGTGTTCCCCTCCAGCATGCTTTGTCCTATCTCCAAAATGGAAGGGAAATTCCACCCCTCCTCACAGGCACCCTGGTTACCATTGAATGGATCCAACTTGGGCCTTTTGCCCCACAGTTGCACACACCAGTACAAACTCAGGCTTTTTAAAAATATAAATGGTAATTGAGGGGTTTTTGTTTTGTTTTTCAGCTGTAGATGGACACAGTATCTTTATTTTTATTTATTTTTATGTGGTGCTAAGGATCGAACCCAGTGCCTCATGCATGCGAGACAAGTGCTCTACCACTGAGCTATAACCCCAGCCTTTTTTTTTTTTAATAATACAGTTTGTTTATTTTTACACACATGCTTCTGAAAAAAAAAAAAAAAGGTTTTTTGTCTCTTTTGGAACTGGGGAGTCGAACCCAGGGCTTTTCGAATGCAAGGCAGATGCTTTGTCATTGAGCTACATCCCAGCCCTCAGTAATTGAGTTTTTGAGTGGCTATTCACATACAACCAACTACATTTCCTGAATTCTAGGTCTGTTAGACTACTCTCTGGTTTCCTTGCTCTGTGCAAGAAACTATTTAGTTCCTGGTTATTTAATGAGCCCGAATAATGTGGGTTTGTGCTATTTTCAATTTTGTGCTATCACGAACCACAAAATTCACACTCTCACTGTCAACATGAAACGGTACCTGTTTCTCCCAGTTCTTGCCAACACAGGATATTTTCATTCTTTTAGCCTGAGAAGTAAAAGGCAGCATAGTTGTTTTAATTTCTTTGACTTCTAGTGACAAGGGTTCAGTCATTCAACAGACTTTTACTGTGTGCTTGCTGGGTGCCCCCCTGCTGAGAGAACAGGAAAGGAACAAGTGGGCCTCACTATTTGAGCAATTCCTGATGTGTATTCTCCTAAACCTTTCATTCATTTTTTTCCAAAGTTTATTAATTGGTAGGAACTTTTCATATTCTTGTCAGAAACTTTGTTGCTGGATTTTATTCCTTTGATCTTGTTGCTCTTCCTCTGACAATAGCACACTGTTTTAATTATACCCCTATTAGAACTTAATAGCTAATCTCTCCTCCTTGTTCTTCATTTACAAACATGTCAAGGTTATATTGCACATTTTCAATTGTCAGTTTAGACTCAGTATGTCAGGCTCTGGGGAAACAAATGTCTTTGAACTGTGACTGGGGTTTCCCTGAATCTAAAAAGAGAACTGGCATAGAGTCCCAGGAAAGGATTATGACCTGTACTTATTCTGCACTTATTCAAGTGTTGTAAATGCCTTCATATATATATATATTTATATATATATATATATTTTTTTTTTTTTTTTTTTTTTTTTTTTTTTGGTGGTGGTGGGGGAGCGGGAAATGAACTCAGGGATACTTAACCACTGAACCACATCCTCAGCCCTTTTTTAATTTTTTATTTCAAGACAGGGTCTCTCTAAGTTGCTTAGAGTCTTGCCAAGTTGCGAAGGCCGACTTTGAAGTTGTGATCCTCCTGCCTCAGCCTCCTGAGTCACTGGGCTTACAGGCACACACCACTGCACCTGGCTCATAAATTTTTATTTCCATTTTCTTTTCATATATCTTGTGCTCCTGGTTAAATTTTTCCTAAGGATTCCTTTCAAAGGCTCCTTTTGTGGTCCCCTTCCTTTACCTTCTTTGGCAGGTGCCCCCAAAGAAGTGAGGCCAAGATAGTGGAGCTGGAGTTCTTGGCTCTGGTTCTGCAAGCGACCTGGGCTCCTCCTTCCTAGCCCTGTTTCCCTTCTATCATGCACTTTGAGTCATCACCTGGCTTCTGGCCCATGTGCACCTGCACCTGGACACATGTACACTCACTAAGTCATTCCCTGCGGCCACCCCCCCATAGGGCGGGACCCTGGAAGAATATGCCCTTTTTTCCCCACCCAGCCTCTCCCTTGGACTTGGTCTCAGCCCCACCTGGTCATAGGCCCAACTGGAGGCCAACTGGCATCCAGGGAATCCACTAGAAGTAGAAGCAGTTAAGAAAGTACTGGGAGCCCCAGGCACTATCTCCCACCACTCATCCAGAAACTCAGCTCCCCACTTGCAAACCCCCAGGGCAGACCCACCAGCCCCTGGTGCTCACCTTAATCCTGGGACTAACAACTAATTGAGCCACCATCGCTCCTCCAAGGCCAACAGCTCCAGCCTGGCAGGACTACAGGCCCTGCAGGGGCATCCTGGTGGGAGGTAAAAGGATGGAGTGGGGCCCAGAGCTACCAGACTTATTTGTCCCTTCCCAACTTCAAGGCCTAGTCTCTTACCAGTCCCCTGTCCTCCACCTCTGCGCAGAGTCCCAAGATGGTCCTAATTGTGGTGGACCATGGAAAGCTTGAGATAGGTCCTTGTGAGTCAGATCTCTGTGGCCCATGGTCCCAGTCGAGAGGTAGCCAGATCCAGGACCTCCAACTCAGGGACCCAGCCTACCTAGCTCAGACCCATTTATTGTTGCCCCCACCTACCCCCCTCCTTGGGGGAGGGGCCTTTAAGGGCCTTGGAACCAGAGACTTGGACATCATCTTGTTCTTCTCCACCCAAACTATCCCATCCTACCTGTCCCTGTGTCTGGGGTTCTGCCTCCTAAGCATTGATAGGGCCCATTCTAGGGCAGCTGAAGGGATCTCTCACTCTTTTGCTTCAACCCTTCCATGGTCCCCAGGGTGCCGGCCTGGCATCTAAAGACTCTCTGACCTCAGGCCACTGACTGCTTTCTCTCGCCTCCTTCGATGGTTCACCATTTCCGAACCATCTGCCTTTCCAACCACTCAGACCATCTCTCAAGTTCAAAAGGCTTTGCTTCCTTCTTCTTCATCAAGCCAACTCCTACTCACTCTTCAAGGATTAACTCCTCTGTCCCCTCCCCAAGAGCAAAGCCTGAGACCTCCTATCCCCAAGCAGTCAGTAGTGCCCTTCCACACGTCTTCTGCCCCTCCCCTTCCACTCCTACACCCACACCTTGCCTCCTGCCATCTTCCTCCTCACCTCCCCTTCCAGGTTTTTGCAAGCACATGGCCTCGGCCCTCCAGGGGAAGCTAGTCTTCAAGGGCAGCTCCCTTTCTCCTGTGTCCTCAACCTCAACTCTCTCAATTAAATATTTACTAAAAACCTACAATGTGCCAGGCATTGTGTTACACACTAGGAAAACATTTTTAAGAAAACAAAAAAATAAGTACAGACTATAAGCAGGCCTGTGCATGAAATAAAGAGGATGTTACAGTAGAGAATAAGGGATTGCTTCATATAAGGAATCTGGAAAGACCTCATAGATCAGGTGACATTTGAGCAGAGACCTAAGTGCTCCTGAGGGTGCATCTGTGTGGCTGTGAGGGGGAACTGCATTCCAGGCAAAAGCCCTGGGCAGGTCAGGGGAAGGAAGTGTGTGTTTGCTGTGCTCCGAGAGCAGCCAGAAGTAGCTAGAGTGGTAGACAAGGTCAGAGAGACGTGGGGGTGGGAAGGACAACCATGCTGACCCTGGCAGCCTTGGTAAGGACTTTGGCTTTTACTCTGAGATGGAAGCCAGAGGAGTGGCATGACCTGGACTTATGTTTTAACCAGAATCACTCTGGCTGCAGGAAGAGAATAGACGGTAAAGGGCAAAGGTGGAAGCAGGAAGCTCAGCTAGCAGGCGAAACTGCGTTCATCCCTCACTAATTCCTAACTAGCCCACTTCCCTCGGCCACCAGTCCAAGCTCTCGTCATCCCCTGGCTAGGGAAGTGTGACAGCTGTGCCTGGCCTCCCTGTCTCCTCCCTGCCCCTCAATCCACAGAATGGCAAAGAGAGGTACTGTAAATGTAGTGCTATGACACTCCTGTCTGTTAAAGCTTCCATAGCTTCTCACTGACCTTCGCACAAAGTCTAAACTCCTCCCAGTCCCTGCTCACAAAGTCCCAGGAGTCCAGCCCTGCTGATCTCTGTTGACCCCCTAGCTGAGGTCCCCTATAATTCAGTGGTGCTGATCTCTAAGTTCAGCTTCAAGCTCTCCACCAAACTCACTCTTGCAGGCTTCCATGACCCTCTCAGGAAGTTGAAACAAAAACAGTCCTTCCTTCTGGTTCTCTGAGTGACAGACAAGCTGTATTACTCCCAGAGAGCCAAAGAAAAGAGGAGCCCAGATGCTTCACACCGGCCCTCCCTTCCTGGCCAAGGCCCCAGCTTCTCAGTGAGCACTAGCTTGGTCCTGAGCTCACAGCCCGTGATCAGCTGAATTGAGGGTAGGAGTGTTGTGATCTGCATCATTATGACCAGAAGTCTGGTCTATGAGTCCAGAGGGCCCCCCTGCCCCACCTGGAGAGCACCTGCCTCTCCCTTCACTTCCAGTTCCTCCTATCCAGCTATTTGCACTCTGGTGATGCCCTGAACAGTTCACCAAGGAGACAACTTCTTGTCTTTGTGTCCTAGGCCAACTCCTGACTGACTTTT